TTTCTTGATTTGGAGCTTTGAATATGTTGTATAAGATCAAAATAATTTAATACTAAAGCTGTTCTATATACCAACAGCTGGAGCTGTTTAATAAAATTGTTTTTCAAAAACGATGCTGCGATTTGGTCTTATATTTTTTAGTCAATTTTTATTCATTATTTATATCATTCTATTTATACTTTTAATATTTCATAAAAAATAGTTGATTTTTTACTTTTAATGTTTAAAAATGTATTCCTTTCGCATATGGAAATTATCATACATGTCTAAATTTAGCGCTTTTAGATAATACACGATATTAGAGGAAATTTATATAGAAATACGTCAAGTTAATTTGTTTTAAGATTGTGTTTATATATTTTAAAGTGAGGTTAAATATTTAAAAAAATGTGCATTTTTTATTTTAATCTATATCGTAACGTTCATATATCCAAAGTTCATTAAAATCAAGGAAGAGAACGTCGAGACGGTTGAATTTTTTCTCTTTGTAAATTTTTTATTTTTAATAAAAATTTAACTGTCTATTCCCGTTCGTATTATTTTGCGTGTTAATTTTCGTATATCTTTTATCGCTGCGCAGAACAACAATTTCGAGACAATCTGTATCGAGGTTCGAGTATTTATCTATTTCTATATACAATGATGGCCGCAGTCCGTGAATTGTTCTTGTGTAAGAGGCTTTGGTTGCTCGTTTTTGTTCGGGCGAAATTCTTAAGCGAACTCTTCCGAATGCATATTGAAAATTTTAAATGGTCTAAACAATTCAAACTGAAACAATGGGACGTTGTAAGATTTTAAAAGACACCTATTAGATATCCTGATTTTTCGCACGTCTCTTGAGATATCTTTCGTTTGGCAATTTGCTCCTGCATTACACGGGCGATGACGAAGGACGATGTCTCTTACGCACATCGGCAGTATTCCCTGTATATTCTCCTGCATCGTAATCAAAACTGCAGTCCGTATGGAACTCCTTATAAGCACACAATATTCCTTGAACGTAATATGAACGTTATTAATCTTTTTTAATATTCACATAAAATTTTAAGAATATTGTGTCTTATAGGGTCAGAATAGACTTCGATCATCGGTAGCTAACGTGTAGAGATAACGATTAGAGATAACCGGCATTGAACTAGCGGCCAAAAACCAAGCAGCTCGTTGCAATTCAGTCCCTACATTCGGCGTGTGTGTGCACGGAACGCGAGGCGAGAGTCGCACGAGGGCACGCGCATATATACGCATAATTTTTATAATAAGACAATCGCGCGCCGATTCGGATGCGCAGCTCGTGCCGGTCTTCTTATCGGACTTGGATACGTAGCCGATATCACGTACACGTTGCGACACGATGCATGGCCAAAAAGTCTTGTTCCTATTTCTCCTAGTATGCATGTGTGTGTGAGAGACTAACGATTCGACTGATTTCCGGACGGTCATATCGGGAAAAAGAAGAGAGAGAGAGAGAGAGAGAGAGAGAGAGAGAGAGAGAGA